GATCAATGGCATTAACATTGACTGTATGTCGTGCGAATTTCTTTCTATTCTGTTGGCGGTAGTTTATGTTTATATTAGTTGCTTGATGCATTGGTAAACAATTGTGGAAAAATATTTCATGTACATGTAGCAAATGAAGAATTTCTAAAAGTACTCAAAAGTGTCATCGCACCAAAGAATAATCCACCAATGCCGATTGAAGAACAAATACTTGGCATGATTCAAGTAAGAATATATTTTTTCTATATTTAATTATACATATTCAATTATTTCTATGACAAAATAACGATAGCATTGGGCATTAGTTTTTCGTCATGATTCTGATTTACAGATTATTCAAGAACTTTATGAAGAATGTAAACGACAAGGTTATACATTTCCACCAGTCGATAAAAATCTTAGTGTCAAAACAATGCTACCTAGCAAAGTAAGTTATTCTTTCCAAACAATAACAATCGCACGTTTTTGTTTCTCATAGGTTGAATCTACTCGTCCTATTTCAGCTCTACCAATAGCAGTACGATAAAATGTCCTTCTTTATTTTTGTTCTATATTTTCTATGTTTAGTCCCAATCAGCACCCAGAACGATGACTAGACCGGTAAAATTACAAAGAAAACCTGTTAATATAGACTAGCTGTTCATTTGCAGAAAACTTCATCTGTATCGAATCGACACAATCAATCAACTTATTCTAATCCATATTTGAACAGTAGCGATACGACAGTACTTATTCGACATTTATCCGATGAACAGATTGGCAAACTTCGAAGTGAACTCGACATTGTTCATATAAACGTTGAAGTACTAGATGAAATGCTTGCTACATTGGAGCCTGGCAATGAACATCAACAAGATTGGCAACTGTTAATCGTGAACAAAATCTATGGAAAAAGGAATGCATTAATACTTGTTTGTTTTTAACTAGGATTTACACAGAACCTGTAAAATGATGCAAGCACGAATTGTTGGTCTTCTATCGGTGACGGCAATCGAGGATATTGCTGGTAGAGAAAATGAATGATTTTCGAATTTTCTATCTTATTTTTCTTAGTCGATCTTCTCCGATGTAATGATCAATTGAACAAAGCATTCAATTCTTATCATTGGTATATGGAAACACGTGAAAGACTATTGCAACAGACTACGTCTAGCCCACAAATTAAACAGAGCAGCAGAATAATACCATCCCATGCTACTATACCGCCGTTGTCGCCCATTAGAGTGATCATCTACTATATCTAAAGAGTTGACACATATTTTCTTATGTTCACTTTTAGACACCAACTGCGCCGTTGTATATTGAATGTAATGAAGAAGATCAACCGATGGTACCATCCAGAAGTGAACATACGACTTCAGACGATACTTCACGACAATCACCTACAGAAGATACAGTTATTTCTTCGAAGATGAATCGCTATCCTTCTGTAATGTCTGACTATTTCCCTTCAGAACAGAATTCGGATAGGCGGTCATTACCTACGAAGTTGCCTCCGATAAGTTCGTATCTTAGGAATACCAACAATAATTTATCTAATCTCTTTTGAATTAAATCAGGACTCACACCATTACCAGATCCTGAGCCCAGATCAATGCCACAGCCAACAGTGTAAGAATATGTACCCAATCAAATCGATGAAATAACGATCCAATGAGTTCCTGCATTAGAATGTACTTGATACATTTCATTTTAGGGTTAGACGTGACCGATCCGCTCGTAGCTCCACTCGAATAATCAGAAATCATAATCATGATCAAGATCAAGTAAGTACTTCAATATTATGCTAATATCCAGTGAGACAATATAAGAGTTCAAATTCTTCTACGTGTTTAACTTCTTCGAATAAATAAGCAAAAAATTTGCGGTATTGATACTTATGTGTTCACAACAATCATAATACTTTGGCAAACAAATACGATTGACTTGAGTAGAATTGATCCCTCGAGATGAAATTTCGTTCACGATGAGATTCTAAGGACAATTTATAACAAGAATTGAACTTTTTTCGTAGGCATATTTTTACCAATTTATTTTTAATATGATATACATACTGAATTTTAATTTTCACTTATGTTGTACTTGATTTTCTTGTTTTTTCCACTGAATGGACTTATTCTAATTCATGTCTCGCATTCGTTTGTGTATTTTAGCATTGTGATCATCATGCAGAACCGGTAGAACAGGAATCAACGGTGCAAAAGACGAATAAAATAGTAAGAGAATCAAAACTAAAAAATAAAGAAGAAATTCGTTCTTTTGGTTTAAGGACAATCGCAAGGATGGTATTTCTCGGACAAGATCCGCATTGCCATCAAGAATCAAACAATTGACGATCGATGACAATGGTTGCACAGATAGTCCGTACAAGATTACTTCATACCATCGTATTGGATCTGATTGAATGAAACAATCATGTGATATTGAACAAACGCAAAGCGAACTTAAATTTTAACTGCCTGTATACTTGCGTAGAAAATGATCTCATTTTCAAAATTATCAGTCCAATTCCTACAGAATAATAACATAAAACTATTCTCATCATAAATGAGAACTTTTGAAACATCAATAAAAATCGATGGTCATCTTGGATAAGCAAAATCTCGAAACGTCGTTCCTTGTCTATTGCTGAGACCAATACTTAATATTTCATGGTGACAAAACATAGTTATTCATTTTTTGACATTTGAGCGGATTTGAAATCGAAAAATGATTTCAAGATCATCAATTTAAAAACGAAGAATCTGAAATGTATAAGACAATTGGATAGTTCAAAAACTATTTCAAGAAATCCAAAACATTCGGTTTCTCCTTGGCATTTGATATGAGTTGCAGAAGAAACCAAAAGGTTTACTTTCTTCATTATATACATCAGCAATCCTTGAAAATCAAGCTTGATAAATAATTTTTCTTTTGAATTTCTAGAGAAAAAGTTATATATTAGAAGAATATAGAAATGTAATAATATCCATAGAACATTGTGATACAGCTAGTGAGATATTAATATTGTGACATTTCTATCGGTGTATATTACGATAGACACAACTCCACAGAGAGACAATACAACATTTTTCAAGACGTAGCAACAGTGATCGACACTGATACAAGAATTGATTAGCAATAAAATAGTGTTAAAACGTCCGTCATTCTTTTGACTTTGGTGCACGAAACAAATCATTCCTAATTGGAACATGACTTATCAATATTAAAATTTAGTTCGAGTACACTACTTTAAAAATCGGTACCATATTTATAAAAGAATCGTGCTCCTTCAATCGATCAAATAGAAGCATTTATGCAAATCAATTTGATAACTTTTGATAAAGTATCACAATAATTAATATTCGAGTCAATAAAAATAATAGAAATATTCTGACTCAAAGAATTCTTGCGTGAAAGTTGTTTTTGATCGATGCGATCAATCGATTCTTCTACAAAGATCTCATGTGAACTAACATCGATCTAAATCCGTTTTGTTGTGTTCAAGAAAGGAATATATCCTTCATTATAAAGCATAAACATATGTTTTTGAATAATTGTTACAAAGTGCCAGTTAGACTAACTCCATCATCATTTTTCTGCTACTGCTTTTCATGCCATCTATAAGAATATGTATACATTACCGTGATGTATACTGTTTATGAAAAGTAGTATATACTTTGCTGATAGCTGGAATTGCAATGATACATAAAGTAAACAAAGGTCAAGAATTTTTAATTAATTTTACAATAGCAAGTTGTTCTTGCTCTACATACAAAGTGTCAAATGTTGTTATATGAAAAGAAGATTTCGAGAATGCTACAGTATTAAGAAGAATACAATATTTTCATAGTCTTAGCATTGTGTCTATCTTTGATCTGCCATCAACATCACAACCATTACGTTATTTGGTATGTTATATTCAGTATATATGATTAGTTCTCAAGTTTGTTTTGATTCTGCACATCTATAGAAAATTACATATAAAACTTGATGTTTTTTAATATACAAACTTTAGATATGAGTTCGACAATTTAAGACACTCTATTGATATAGAGAAAGAAGAGTTTGGACTTCTACAATATGCAATATTTGATAAGAGAATTGTATGATCAGACTAAAGATGTATGAGACTTGTGAATTCTTGGAGTAACAGAGAATAACGACAATAAGAATTTTTTAAAATCTCTCACTATTTTCGTGAGAAGAACTGATTGATATACTCATAGATGTTGTCATCAGTTGTGTTTGATCAACATAAGGATTGATAAGAGAAGTTTTTCTCGTGAACAACACTCATTTTCCAAATTTTTTTTAGCAAAAAAAAACACATATCACAGCCCAGTCGTCGCTGCATGATTTCTTTGTAGAAAATCCATTTAAATAATTGATGGTTACAAAAGTTTTTTTCGAATAGAACATGCAAGGTGATTTTGTTCAAAGAGAAAATTCCGCTCGATTTTCTTCATTCTTTCAAAAATTTGATTGAAAAAAGAGCGAAATATTCTTGCTTCTGCCACGCGTTTTTGTACGAATAAGTGCTTAATCTTCTTCTTCCGGATGCTATTAGCTGCTTTTACAAATAATCTGCCATTTTGTCTCTTTACTTAGTGATGATCAAGAGTGGAAAAGTTGAATTTCTATTCATAAAATCTCGTGAAATCTCTGCAAATCCTTAGAAGTCTTTCAAAAAGCTTGAACCAGCTTTTTCCCGTTTGATATAGGTGATAGCATTGGTATAAAAACTATTTTCTCTCTTATCTAAGACACAAAACAATATAATTTTCGCCCCTTTTCTATATGCTTAACATCGATTGCAGCATAATAGAAGTACTATCTGCTAGATAGGCGTCAAAGAGAGTCTTCAAAAATATGAGTGGGTGTTTTTTGGTCATTCCATCGTCATATTCTTTTCGCTAAATAGAAATCTTATAAATATTGACTTGCTACTCAAAGAAGAGCTGTAAGATGAGAAATAGAGCAACATTAATGGAAATTAATGTTCGTTTTTATTTTCTTTCTCATCCATTTTTTTGTCTTTGCGGCGTCGGTTATAAAATTTTTCTCAAACTCAGTGGCAATGGTGGCTCAATTGATACGCTTGTATCTCTAGCTAGAGCCTGAGGTCGGTATGAGAGATTATGCATATAAATATGATAGGTGTAAGGTGTAGACAAGAATATGTATGCGGATAAACTTGAAGATATGTGAGAGCAGATAGATAACATGCATCTTCACCCACATTAATACTCATATGCTAGCTACACTGCAATGAGTCGTTTACATCCTATTTCAATCAGTCACTCATTATGTTTCACATTCTGAATAGTCAACAGTAAAATCAATCGATCAAAAATATAATGTCTGCGCTAATTTTGAAAATACAAATGGAGAACTGCAAGCCGAATTTCTAATAGATCCTTTCAAGATAAGCATGAAGTTGTAATGGATATTTTTCATTGATCTCGATATTAAAATGATTTGGACTGATTCTTTGAAAAAAACTTGTAGTTGAACTAGAATTAGAAGAGCATAATTCACGTAGCT